TTTGTATGTGGATTCTATATCGCGTCAGTCTGAAAAATATATAACTATGAATCGTATTTTTGGCATCGTTATTAGAGAAGGATTACAGCGGTATCGTGCTCTCTGTTGTTAGATGCATTTCGCTTAATCTAACTTAACCGCCATCGGGTACTTCCGCTGGTTAAAAATAAAAAAGAAAAGAGTTGGATTTGACAAACATTCGCAGAGATATTTAACTTAAAAAATTTTATATGTTTCATTCATTTTCAACACTATCGGTTAAGATACTATCGGATAGATTAGAATAATTCGATTTTTTCCCCTGTAGTATACTATTCAAAGGTATTCTTTTGTGAATTACTTGTGTATAATGTGCTTTAATTTACGATTTTGTTACAACTGATATGGCGAAAGAATTTTGACACAAGTAATTTATAAGGTTTCAGATTATAAATATGAGTTATTAACATTATAAGATCTATCTCTTCTTGTCCACATAAACTAATCTACAAAATGAACTAATCTACAAAAATCTAATCTACAAAATGAACCTGGCGAATTCTCGCACAGATGTGAAGGAATACCAGAGCACAGAGAAAAGATGAAAATAACATTTTATTATTTCCAACTAATAACAGAAAGGCATGAACACCTTGCTTTAAAATAAACGTGGAACTTGAACGTTATAAAATAAATCAATTCAAGTCTAAATATAGAATAGTGCTAGATTAGCACGTTAAGTTACGGTTAACTTAGGTTGACTCAACAAATCTAATAGGCATGACAATTGTTCGAAATGCCCAAGAGCATATTAGCGTAATAGCAAGATGATCAATGAAACGTGCGCTGGCTAGCGAAAACACGCTTTGAATTCACTTCACTTAACTTTAAATTTACATCCTGGCATTATTTCATAAATTAATAGCGTTTCGTAAAATAACAGCGTCATAAGAAATGCGAGGGGAAGTTGAGGAGTTCAGGAAAGAATACTGTTACGGTTTTTGTATTGACTTAGCTATTTTTAAATAGAATTAATTGTTTTATATTACCGTGCAATGTAGCACAAGACCTATTTGAAGAGAAACCTACGCCGTAAAAATTAAAAATATAGGAGCACGCGCATTTAATGCATAGATATCTCGTAATTGTACTCTTTTGATATCCAGAAAAATCGAGAAAATTCTCGTGTGTTTAAATAAAAATATCCCGCTTGTAAAATTTATTCAGCTGTTTCCTGAGGTATTTTATGAATTTGTTTAGAAAACTGTTGGTGTTTACTGCAGCGAATTTGCGGTGAAATCGGATTAGCTTTCTCTATTTAGAATTAGTTCTGCTGAACGTTTTGGTAGTTTAAAATACTGCGAGGTGTTGCAGTATTGTACAAAGACCTGAGGAAATTTAAGCATTTTGTTTTTATTTCTTGTGATACAAATAAATTTCATTCACTTTTCATCGGACTTGTGCATTCAATTTATTACAAACCCGTTCGTACACAACAATACGTTAGTTGAACTAAAGGAAACCCTACGACATCATCAGTAGGTTTCATTAATTTAAATTCATAAACATACAAAGATTTCATTAAACTTTTTTACGCTATTAATTTATGAAATAATGTCCCAACTTGGCCATAAAAACAGTTACCTGATGTTTTCACGAAAGAGAATTCCTTAATCAAAATACCATTAATTCCTCATCACTTTCCATTTATAGTGTCAACTCTTTTTAGCCCAAAAGGGACGTTAGTGGACGCGTGGAAGATAAAAATATTTTATTTCGGACAGCGACAATGTATTTCTTTTGAATAGCTCCATTGTTGAAGAAATTGGAAAGATGCTTGCTCTTTGCCACAAGGCATTGCTTTTAAATCGCTGAATTTTCTGATTCAGTTTGAAATACGTATCCGCATCTTACATTTTTTCAAATGGAAATGCATTGTTTTTAAATTTTGGAGTTTTTGAATCTAAATTTTATGAAGTTTGCACAAGACACATATAAATAGTAAAGTAAATATTCGAAATTCGAGTTGCGAGTGTGATCTAGTATGCATGATGAAAATTTGTTTGTTCTAGGTGTTGCCATTCTTCCACAAAACGAAGAACACACACATGTATATACATACATCCACATTTTTTATTATTTAATAGTACAGACTAGAAAAGTCAAGGGGCATGAAAATTAACCTTCACTAGTTAGGTTAAAAAGCATGAAAAAAAAGCGAATAGTAGACATTACCACGTGTGGTATACGGGGTATGAAAAAAGACCTTGACTAGTTAAGTCAAAGATCATGGTAAAAAAAGGCAAATAGTTGACATTACCACGTAACCACACAAGCTGCCTAATAGAACTATGATCGTTATATGCTTTTTTTCTTACTGCCTTTAAAGTTAAAATTAACAGTTAATGTGTTATCATTATTTTAATAGTAAATACCAATAAATCCAAAGGCTGATTATGCAATTTTTCAAGCTTGAAATACTAATAAGAACTAGTAAAATCTTAAGGCGAAAATTTTACTATTCGTAAGTCCTAAGGCAAGAATGATGATAAGCTTTTCCAAATATGCATCAATCTAATATTTTAGTTATCTAAGCTTTTGTGACGTCATTAGTGTTAGAATAAATTGAATTATAACTTCATCACAGGAATAGAAAGCGTTTATGAGAAGAATGGAAAGGTAAGCATTCAGAACAATAGCGATCAACGTTATAACGACTATATAACTGAAGTTCAGAGCATGAAGTTGGCAGATTGCCCCAAAACATAGATTACGTCATTTAACTCTCTGAGAGGCAAACGCAAACTAATAAAGAAAAAAGAAATCGCATTAATCATTGCATCTCGGGACATTCGCCGGTATAAAATAATAACAATTTGCACTTCAAGATGATAGGAAGTGAAGTTTTTTATTTTAACGTAAACTCATTTTAAATATTTTTAAAGATATTTTCCTCCATGATAAAGAAATACTAAATTTCATTGTTATTTACATTTTATTAAAAAATTAATGCTAATGTGTAGGGTTCACCTTATTTCGCTAAGCAGTTACTGTAATTTTGGTATCTTTTCTGAATTCTCTATTTCCCCTCGCTTTCCCTGCCAGAATGCAAATTAAGCAGGTGAAACAGAGTATTTAAACAGGTGGAAACGAATAGTTTAGTAAGAGCATGATTTCGCTGGGATAGCGCTCGTTTGTTTTTTTGTCCTCCCAGCTGTTAATTGAGTAGCGACTACGCTTCTGGCCATTTGATTAGTTCAGGGCTTCTTAAACTTTATTCAGTCGCGACCCCAGGACCCCATAATATTTACAAAAATTTTGTGGGACCCTATTGGGGTTGCGCAAATCCGACACACGAGTGAGCGAAACTGTCAATTTTTTCTCTTGTACTGTAATATACTGTTGCAGTTTTAGGTCATTAACTTTAATTTCTAATTTTAAGACATAGAACAACGTGAAAATTTTAAATACGTAACAGACGAAATCACAGCGTCACGTGCAAAACAAGTAAAATGAACGTGTATATTATAAAAAGAACGCGTCGAAACGTTTTCGTGTTTTCTTTGTCTGTATTGTCTTATCCTTAACTACTTTCAGATACATTGTGTAGAAATATTTGGTAATTGTAAAATTATTATAATATAAAAAGTTAAAGCAATATCAAAATTGATAAAATGTTTGGCGATCCCCTGCTGCACATTCCGCAACCCCATGGGGGTCGCGACGTACAGTTTAAGAAACTCTGGGTTAGTCTTTTGACAGTGTAGACTGCTGAGTCAGCCTCTTAGATAAATTAAATTGCGAAGTCCAGCACTACTTCTTTACCTTTCGAATTTATTGTTAGAAGTCCATGCCTTTCTGTTAAAGAGTTGTGATAAACAAAAAGGACTCAAATCCTTTTTGTTTACAACAATCCTTTTTGTTAATCAAAAAACAAAAGGACCATAAAATCTTCACCCTGTTGTGTTACTCTTTAAGTATGTGAGAGAAGTCATCAGGTTGAGCTTTAAGATCTAGACACTTTGCATGATAGTAAGGAAGATAAAATCTTATAACAGTAAGTTAGAAATACGATTGCTTCAAAAATTAGTCAAATTAGTAAATAAAGTTCTTTAAACTATATATAATAAAAAGAATTAAAATATATGAGAAAGGAAGCAATAAAGCAATGTGTTTATAAATTTTAAGAAATAGTACTGCAAAAGTGAATGACCGGAAGGTTTACAAACACTGAAATCAGAAGTTTCACGTGTCGTAAACATGTTTGTAACCAGGTTTCTAAGGGTTCATGACATATTTAGGAACAATTGTTATGGAAATGAGCTTGTTGATGACTTAAGGTTTGGTTACAATGTTTCGCCCAAATGTTTCACAACAACCTACCAATTTTGGCCTCTTTAGATGTTTAATTTAAATATTGTTGCATTAGTTTGCTTAACCCGAAAATGAAGACAAATCGTAAGTCAAGAATTATCTCTGAATTTAAATGGAATAAAAATAAAGCCTTCGGAGAAAGTCACGTTTCCGAGAAGGAGACCCCGACATTCGTAGAAAAGAACAGTTCTCAAAATGTACTTTTGAAAGAGAACGGAAAAAAAGTGTTAAATCTAAAAAGCTTTCTGCGCTCGCTTGTTTAACGAAACCCATCATCTCCTGCTTCCGGTGAATCCCTAATTATTGCAGCAAAAACAAAGTTCCCCCGAAGATTAAATAAACAAAAACAACCCCCCCCCCAATTCAAAAGTAGCAAGGCGGCATCACCCATCCCTCTCTAAACTTTTCTCAAGAAGATCGAAAGAAAAAATGCAAAAAGATAGATGACAATTTTTTTTTCCCGTACACCTCTCCATTTAGACGATATACAAGACAGCGGCGCACGTGCGATTGCTCCGCATCTTCCCATCCCGTAGCTCCTCCGCATCTCGGGGAGTGACGTCACCCTCCATCGTGCCATCGACATTGGCTGTGACGTCAAAGCGTGACGTAATGTATCCCAGTCATGCTATAAATAAAAGACTCCGGCCGGTGTGCAGTTCAGATACAACTTAATCCAGTCTTCCGTCTGTGGGACATGAGATGTAGTTTCTCAAAGCGGACTTTGAAAGAGTGCGAACTGAGCGTGTAGAGATTAATAAACTTTTAAGTGGAAGTATATCTCAGTTACAGAGCTTAAAGTTTTCTTGACATATTTTCAAAGCAACATAGGTATTATTTTATGAACCATGACGCCGGTATCGGATTTACGGAAGCTGTCTCTGATACCTGATTCTCAGATTGTTGTTTCCAGGAGTCAATCCGACACAAGTTACGAAAGTTTGGCTGCCGTGATGGTGGACAAAAGAGCTCGCAGGGCAAGCGAGTGGGCGACATCAGACAAGAACAAGAAAATGGTACTTCGTCCTTTGCAATTAAATGGTGGAGATCCTAAGGAATGCAATAGTCTTTTGTATCGAAGAATGTCCAAAGCGTCAATAAAAACTCATTGCACTCCTCAGTCTGTCCCTGCCACCGAAGCACTTCATAAAGATGGCGTGTCTAGAACGTATTCAGTGAAATCTGTAAAGAAAATTTCTGAGGCTAGACAACGTCACAGAGGGTCCAGTATCCCTAGCGAAGAGGGGCACTCGACTGGAGCCCGAGTGAAAGAAAGGACTGTATCCAATAGATCTTTACCATTACCTGGAGATGAAACAGAATATTTAAGGCTTCGAAATTTCAGTGTTACATCTAAAGGTGTCGTCAATAGGGGTGATTCCTTCCGGTCACGGTCAGCATCGCATGTTCCTGGTTTAAACGCTGGAGAAGAGGAGAATGTTATGGCAAATACAGCAACACCATCACCAGTCACAGAAGAACCCAAAGAACTGCTTGCTCAAAAGAAACCCTACAAAGTACTTCTCATTGGGGCACCAGGAGTGGGAAAAACTTCCATGTGGAAACAATTTATGACTTCGGACTACATTTGTGCATTCGATTTCGCAGCTGGTAAGTCATAATATCCTTCCTAAATATTTTAATATCTTTTAAGCTTTATTTTGCTGCAATACTAAACAGCACTTTCCGTGTTTAATTACTATCCTTCTTTGTGTAAATTTGTGCAGTTGGATGTTGTAAAATTGATAGTGACATCAGAACATTTCTTCGGCACCATGCCAAAACAACGAAATTGCAATGTTCATGGCTTTGTTCGCTTTATTTCTAGAATATTTAGAGTACAAAGTTCAGTTTAGTAATTTCTACTAGAAGAAAATTAAGGAAATTAAGAAAGCAGACATAGTACAAAATGAAATTTAGAAGATTTGTAATTATATGGGTATATTATGAGTAATATTACATTTGCTTATAACTCTGTTCCTTAGAAATTTCTTCTAAAATAAAATCAAGGAACGCAACCTTACGTACACTTCTGAAATTTATTACCTGTTATAATTTTAAATTATTGTTAGTATTATTTGTGTATGTGCTTCCAATTTCAAATAACCCAAAAATAAAATGTTATTTGAAAGGAGGGAAGTGAAGGTTTTTCTATAAAACATAGCAAAATTTAAGAATAACATTTTTTCATTTGGAAAGATTTTAATTATGTTCTTTTTTGATTATCTGAAAAATTATAATATATACATCAATGTAAATCTATTACAATTTAATATTAATAAATAAAAATAGAATATTTTAATGCAAGAATGATATTTCTGCCTGTTTGTCTTAGAGGAATGCCTTGAAATTTATCTGTATTTTCCAAACCTTTTCAAAGCCTTGATAAAGCTAAAAAAATCTCTTTCCAAAATCTATTTAAGGAATCACACATAAATAAGTTACATATACACAAATATATGCACTTATTGGTACTTATGTTATTTAACCTAAAGCTAAAGTTTAGCTAAAGTTCTTTTTAAGCATAAAATTATGTTGCATGCGAGCAATTTTAGAATCAGATATCAAATTATAGCTCTTAACGCTTTCCTTTCAGTCCTATCAGTACAGTATCCAGGTGCACATCGATGAAAGACTGCTTTTCCTTACGTTTATTTTTCAATAACTCGGAATCATAATATATGCCTTCTTTCTTTAGTTTCCCCTATTTTAGGCTCATAAATCTATAGCAAGGAATATTTTGTGTCAACTTTAGAAAGCAAAAATAGCAATTACAAATTTACATTATTTTTCTTAAAATCTTTTTTACATTGCTTTTTAAACCGCCTCCAAAAAAATGGAGCCTGCTTATCTGAAACTGTTATCATAATAGTTCGAATTTGAGTCGCACTTTTCATTCAGAATTTTAAGACATAAAATTAAGATGAATCTTAAATTTATAGCTATTCTTTTTTATTATTTTCTCCAATTTTCTAATTTTAAAATCCTACCGACGGTTTAAATACGGTATAACAGTATTCTAGAAAAAAGAACTGATTCTATAGAACTGATAAAATATAAGAATACGCTTCGGATTTAATCACAAAATAGTTCTTTGCCAGCTATCTATTCAATGTACGTTATAGTTTTCTCTCGATGCTGACTGCATATCTTCTACTGTGCCATTTCTCAACTGCTAGATAACCCTAGAATCATGTCTTCAGCGCCATGCCAAAAGAGTGAATCTGCTTATTCCACTGTTTTACGTAAATGCATTTTTTAAGCTTTCTCCGATGTTTTTAACTATGTTAACAAAGAAAACATTCCTTGAGATAAATATTTTTGCAAACTCTAATCTTAAATGTTTATCTCTAATTCCTAATTTTTCAGATTCGTGATTTGGCGTAATGTTTCACAATATATGATATTTTTTTAACTTTTTTAACATAGGTATATATGTTCTCTGAGATAAATATTTTTGCAGTCTCATCTCTGATTTACGATTATTAAGATTCTTGATTCTGGCGTAACACCATGATGTATGATATGTACATAGACGATACTAACTGACACGTCGTGCATATACATATATTAGATGACATACGTAGTTATGTCATCTAATTAGTACTGGAGAAGGCTGAGTAAAGAAATAGGTAACTAGGATGTAGAAATATTAGGATTTTTTTAATCAGGAAATTGAATAAATGTGCATTGCCCTCACCGGGACTCGAACCACGGACCTCTCGAATACGCAGAGTGTGCTGCCCATTACACCACGAAGGTAAGCTAAGAAAGCGGAAGAAATACTTATATACACCCCCTTTTAAAGGGCGACTGGGAATTAGGGGACCCAAACGGTGTCTTGGTGGTGGAGAATCATCATCCACCATCTTTTTTTAGTGCGGGCGCCACTCTTGAGACATTAGGTTATTTTGAAAGCAAGAGAGATGAAAAATGAGCAATGCCCTTTCCGGGACGTGAACCACGGACCTCTAGAATACGCGCCGAGTGTGCTAACCATTACACGTTACACATGGGGAAAACCACGAAAACGCCCATGCAGCCAGCCCGTTCGCGGGCTTCGAACCTCGGACCGAACTACCAGTGTTCAGCGACTTTACCGCTCGGCCGCTGGTGAGCCCTGAAGCGGAAGAAGGAAATACCAGAAATCTGTGATCTTATCCACTCTTTTTAAGATGCAAAGAATCTTAAAATGAAATAAAAAAACGTCCTTCGGGAGAAAAATGTTAAAAAAAACGCCCTTGATAAATTTACAAATATATTTATTATCTTATACCTTTTACAATGTAATTCGACAATAGATTTCCTTTATATAGGTTTCTACTCTTACAATATCCATAATTTAAAATTGTAGATGAGTTTTATAAAGAGAATTGCTTAATCTGTTGTTCTCATTAAATTATCTGAGGGATTATTTTCTCCTTTTAGGTTTTAAACTATTTTATGAATTCTAAATAAAAGTTTATTTTTTAAAATGAGTTTTTTTTTTTTTAATTTTCGTATTTATCGTTTTAGTGACAATGGCAAGTCATCAATGAAATTATTCAATTGAAAATTTATTTTTCAGCAATGAATAATCAGTCTTTTGCGTCTAACAATTCTGTTACATCAAACGGTTTTACCAATAAATCGACAATTGCATTAAATCTCTCTTATAAACTTCATTTAAAGGATTGTTTCCCTCCTATGGTGGGAAACAAAATTCTGATGATTTTAGTTTGTTCGTTAAATATGCAAAAAGTCGTTTTAATATTAAATTTTTACAATTTAAAAAAAAATTTAAATACAGTCAATTCCCCTCTTTATATTGTCAACAAATGAGCAACAACCAATGTTGAAATTTGAGAAACACATATAAACTGAAATTTTAAATGAAAAAATGTCAATGAAAGAAATGTTTTTCATAAATTATAAGGTATTTCTCCGGCCTTCTTAGCATGCCTTCGCGGTGTAGTGGTCAGCAGACTCATCGCGTATTCGAGAAGTCCGTGGTTCGAGTCCCGGCGAGGGTAATATTCATTTTTCCTGTCTTATACTTCCAAAAAAATCCTTAATGACTGTACAGTGGCGCCCGAACTAAAAAAGGTGGTGGATGGTCATTCTCCATCACCAGGAGTTGGCGACTGGGTCCCCTAATCCCCAGTCGTCCTTTAAAAAGGCGAGTATATAAGGTATTTCTCCCGTCTTCTTAACATGCCCTCGTGGTGTAATGGTCAGCACACTCGGCGCGTATTCGAGAAATCCGTGGTTCGAGTCCTGCCGAGGGTATTGTTCATTTTTCACGCCTCATGTTTCCAAAACATTCTAATGACTCTACAAAATGTGGCAATAAAAAGAATAATAAATAAACAAAATGTACATTCCTCATACTATCAGAATTATCAGACAGCTTTATTTAAAATTTTAAGTGACGGGCACTGCTAAAGACTTTTCCACATTCCTGAAAGACGCCGTTTACCGTACAGCAAGAAATATGAATTACAAATTTCCGTTGTAACAAATACTAAAATTCAGAATTATATAAAGTTATGTTTTGTATAAATCTTAAATGGAATTTTCATATTGGGTAAAATGATTTATGTTGCATAATTGTAGCACTGCTTCTCCAGCGCTCATATACTGTTTTACATAGCAGCAAATCTTTTGAAGCCTTTAGTAAGTAAAATAACAACTTACTAAGTAAAATTTTCTATACAGATAAAATTCGTGAAACATTTTAAAATTTGTTTGCTTTTACTGCATTTACATAATTACCTCAATATGAAAGCTTATTTTATTAAATTCATTTATAAATTGGTACTTTAAATCAGCGTTCGACAGATAATTATCCTTGTATTCTCTTGAAACATCCTCTAATTAACTAGTAATAATCTAAATGCACTTTCAGATAAAACACATCTTTTCCTATATTATTACTGATATAATTAGGTCTTCTTCATTCGTTCATACATGTTATATTTTAAGGTTTGTTTTTTTCTCATTCTGTTAAAGTAATTTCAACATTTATGTTTTAGAATTAGAAATCGACAGAATTATCACAGTTGTTCTAAACAACGAGGAGTCTCAAATAGAATTCGAAGAAGAAACCTTTCAAGATGGGGATGTAAGTTCTAAAAATAATACTAATAGTTACTGTTATTTTCTTGGAGTTTTATGCTTGCTTTATTCTACATGCGACTATCAAATTGAACAAAAGTTCATTTTTTTTTTTCCTAAATTAAAGTTTTTATCATTTTATTGGTATTGCTAACCGCACAGAAACGCTTAGATGCCGCCATTGACAATAATCGCTCTGTATCATGGAGTTAGGCAGTAGTTTTTTCTTCCCTCCATGGTCTGTATAGATCACGAGTTTGCAAAGAAGGGAGATTTTCCCCCGAGGCTAATTTTAAGTTTTTCGGAGGTGAATGAGATCAGCTTCTTATGTAGCTGTTAAGTATTTCGTTTTAATTTATGAATATAAAAAAGTTAACTTTATTCAAGTTTTCGTATTTATTATAATTTTCTATACCCTGCTTGTTGTTTATACAAATACGTTACAAAATAATCTAAATCGAAATAAATGTATTTTTCGAGTTTGGAAATAAGAGAGGGGAGGAATGATCCCACCTTCCTCATTTTCAAAGCAATGGTGAAATTGTTGCATGGAGCAAGAAAGGTTGAGAATCACTGGTATAGAGGCTACTCTTTGATCTGGAATAATTGCTACTAAATAACTTTTAATTGTTCATTTTTCTAAATGACGCGGGTTTACTTTATCTCATTGCTCTCAGATGACATCACTTGAAAATACATAAGATATTCGAACCGTTTTTCCCAATTTTTCGTTTCTACTCTTATCCCCCATTTTCCAGTGAATGAGAGCCATGACTTCTTCCAAGAATTCACTTAAGTATAAACTAACATTTCCAACTTGGTGTGTTTCATTTAAATCAGTAAGCTGTTGAAACTACGATATTTTAGTTTTATGTTAATACTGAGCTCTTAGGGGTTTTTTTATACCGTCAAATCTCTTCATTTTCCGGCAGGAATTAATATAAAATAGGTTAATTAGTTCTTAGACCACATATAATTGCTTATTTATATTTTGCACTAACATTTTGAGCACAAATTAATAAGCTTATTCAATGAAAATCATTGAATATAAAACAAAAAAGATAAAGAATATATTATGCATATAAAAATAGATGAAACCGCAATTTAATTTTATCGTACTCTTGGAAAATGAGTGGGTTGCGTAAGTGAAAAATCAGATGTGTTTACCCTATGACTTCCTTGTACGGAATATTAAATTATACGCATTTTCTCTTGCATTTCATTTAAATTGATTCGATTGAACTAAATCTACTTCGTCGATAGTGCATAAACCACCATAGAATAAATACACTCTTTAAATTCACTATATTTGTTTACCATAGCGACACTCTGGCGCTAGGTTCACTTAACAGCGTTATATTTCGTTCATATTATAACTCAGAATGCACAAAATTTATATCATTTGAAGAATTATCTAATCGTTGCCACATTTTCTATTCAAATAACATAATAAATCTAGAACAATGTATAAGAGAAATTAAGCAAACAAAACAAAAAAGGAAGTTTTTCACAGACGATTCAGTATTTCTTATTCAATTAGTTCAGTTCCCACTTCGCGACAAGGCAAAAATACATAAAAAGTCAAAATAACTGTATTAAAAATTACGAAGTAAACCTTAAACACTTATTTCCTCGTAAAAATTCCAGAAGGATTAAACATACTTTAATTCGCAATAATAAATGAAGGCGTTATCTTTGTTGTTGCGAAGCTTAGTCTCTCTAGATTGGCAACAAGTCTACTATTCTACTGTTTAAAATGTAAACAAATATGTCCGCCATGTTATTTAAAAATTAGGCTTAACCGCACTTAAACAGCTTTTAAATTGTGGATAATTCTACAAATATTGCTTGTAAATTTCCTAAAAGCATACAAAACCTTAACCGGAAGATAAGAGCAACATAATTCAATTATTTTTAAAGCAAAAACTGTACAATTTACAAACATATAAGAGTAAAGAAAGAGATCACTCTGCCGGGTAAGAGAGTGGATATATATATATATATATATATATCCACTCTCTTACCCGGCGTTTGGTGCGTCTATATGCGTTTGGTGCGGCCGATTGCAACCAAAATATGAATTGCACATCTACATGTTATAGCAGTCCTCTATACAAAATTTCAACGTTCTGAGACTACTCGTGTTTGAGTTATGCGAGATACATACGTACATATGAACGTACAGACACCACAAAAAATTCTCTTCATAATTTATTTTAAAGCACTTTTATAATCTTTTTGGAGGAAAATTGTCTTTTATTCTGTCGTTACGTACAGATGTCACACAAAAGCATCGTTAAATTGCATTCGATAGCAGTCAAAATGGATATTCTTGTTGAAATATGCTGCCTGAAACGTTTCGCGATTACTATACTTTCTTTTTCCTTCGTACAAGGAAGTAAAAATAATGAGGTAGATGTAGAATTTACCTTCTGTAAAAACATCACATAACTGTCTCTTTCTTCATCTTCTTTTAACAATTTTATATCTCTAAGTGCATTTGCATTCTGGTTGAGATTCACTGAACTCTTATTTCACTCAAAATTTATCAGTAGTTCTTTTTACATACGTTTTAAAACGTTTCTAATATGTGATATCTCATTGTTCTTTAAAATGTTCATGCTGTAGCTTGCTCTGCTTTGTCAGAGTGATATCGTTGTATTAAAACTTTTATCTTACTCCAATATGCACAAATTTCACGAATTAGTGAATTTGGATAATTTTTCTTTCTTCCTCTTCTGAAGAAATTTCTTCCACAATGCTTTTTATTACTGCTTCTGAGTTTGTAGTAGTTCTTTTCTATTGAGCGCAGTTTTATGATCCTGTAACAATTTTTCCACGTTTTGATTTTTTGCCGCGTTCTGCCTGCAGACCCTTATCATAGGTAACAACCCGAAACCATCCTAGGATCCAAAGTGCTCAAAAGTGTGCCTCAACCCAATCTGACCATAACTTCCGCGTAGATGATTTATTAAATGTAGGAAAATATTAAAATGAAGTTTCAAAACTTCCTGAGCGTTCAATGATGAGGCAAATGTCGCTTTAACCATTGAAGATAATATGTTACCGAACTGTGTATTCATAATTGGAGACATCCTTCCTCATACGTGAACCTTTCTTATTTAGGTAATTAGTTCGTGAGCTGAACTTTTCGTGAAATGACCCTATTCACGAACCAAAATTTCATTGCATTACGAAATGGAAATACTTACTTTTTTCTTTCTTTGAGAGTGGGGTTTCTAATTCATGCTTTTACAAATTAAAAGCACTTATGTTTCAGTTTTTAATAAGTGTACAAATCAGACTTAAGTTAAATTTTGATAAAATTAATACGTTTACTAAAGAGGAAAGGATCTCTTTTTTATTTTTGATACTAGTCGCTTATGTGGGCAGCCGCCTAAAATATTGATTATAATCGCTTTCTCTCTCTCTCTACACACACACATATATATATATATATATGCAGAACCACACATTTTTATTTTAAAACAAAATTATCCAAAGTTATTTCTGCTCAATATGCTACTGGAAATTAATCAGTGTAGACAAAAAGTAAGAAATTTAGAACCAAATCCACAAAGAAACAAAGGACGTGAAATTCATAACTACTAAAATTTCTAAATTCTCTGTAACTATGTAAAATTAACCAAAAGTCAGAATTAAAGAAATGTGAAATACAAAAACCGCAAAAAATATATAGAAGATGAATGCAATTAAATCTGATTCAACGTTATCAAGGTAGATCAAACTCAACTGAACCCCTTCCTTTTATTGATATGAAATATGCAAAATGGATTGCCTCTGCTTCCACTGAATAAGCTATGATTTCAACATTCATTTAAGTTAATTCCCAGTTAATTTTTCAGTATATTTCTTATTACTACATATTAGTTTTAATTTTAATTAAAATTTATGTCTTATTAATTTCTTTTGTTTTATTTCACACTTAAATTTTACATATGGATATGCCTTTGTACATTCGTTCAATGGAATGTCCCTGCACCGAGGAAGGGTTCAAAATTTTCGGGTGAACTGTTGAAATTAAATAATTAAGAATGATTTAACAGTTAATTTTGGATGAACAGAAAAGCAGTAGTTTTCCAGGTGAAGGGTGGTACAATTGAGTCTGATTTACTTCCTTTTGATAACGCTGAATCAAATTTAATTGCATTCCTCTTCCTGTGTGCTTTTTTTGTGGTTTTTTGTATTTCATATCTCTTTAATTCTTCGGACTTTTGGTTCATTTTACATATTTATAGGGAATTCTAAAATTTTACTGTTTTTTAATTTCATTTCTTTTGGGTCTTCGTGGATGTGGTTCTAAATATCTTACCTTTTATCTTTATAAAATATGTATAAAACAGATTTAACGAATCCTGATAGTCTCATCTCACGAACTCAGGTATTGATTAATAGTGTCGCACACACGCTTCAGACGTTTTGATAAATTGTATAAACCCTTATATGCGTATAAAATGATCAACTATTATACTTCTCTAGTTAAAAATTTAACAGTTATGCTTACTTTTACCTTAAAAAAAGTAGTTGGTTTTTCTTCCTTAAATCCAAAAATTTAATTTTAAAAAACTATTATTCAATTATTTTTTAAGTTTTTTTTTAGCTATTTGAAAAAAAATGATATGTTTATACATCATGCTGCACGTATTGTAATTTTGTGTTAATGAAAATAAAAGTACTTTTATTTAATTTAAAATGGTAAAAAATACAAAATAAAGCGCATCGAACGTGCGAACAGACCTTTCGAATGATAACCCAGTTATTAATAAAAACTGATCTTTAAATTGCGTATAAATGTTTGGCATATTTTGGCATTTTGAAGATACCTGGCCCCTCAAAAAAGAAAGAGAACAGATTTTGAATAAAATGAAGTTTATTTGCATTAACTATGAAAAGTTGCAACATTCAAGAATTTAAATTATGCAAATTTGAATTATATTTAAATAATAAATATTATTTTCGTGATATAACTTCCTGTGCGCATTTTCTTGTGCTTATATTTAATCTGCTTCCAGGAAAATGTGACCATTTTAGATCCCGATGCGTTTGTTATCGTTTATTCTGTGACTGACAGGAAAAGCTATTCTTACGCCAAAGTGATTCTTTCTCAAATACAGCGACACCTGGACACGAAAGCTGTTATTCTTGTAGGGAACAAGACCGACTTGGCTCGCCTCAGGGTAGTCTCAACTGATGGTAAGATGCTTACTTGTTTAAACATTCATTGTTCTTTTTCTGTGATAAAAATTAAGATTTCGACACATGTTTAAATTTAGTTTCTAGGTAACCTAAAATAAACTATGCTTATTGTCCAGTAAATGAGAAAGTTCAAGTACTCGTAGCCGATAAAATGAGAAAACATTGAATTTTTTAGTTCATACCTAGAATATGAGCAAATACCTGATGAAATTAATATTTTTTTTTAATTTTGTTTTTAAAGAAGGTGATCCAAAAGTCGGTCACGTTCAAATTTCAAAAGCTGAGGAATCTTTAGAATGGATAATGAATGACAAATTGCTTCTATAGATGACACTCAGACATTGTTATGAGTATTATGTCGCTTGAAATTTCACTTGCAATTTAGGATGCTCTGTGTTTAAAGGCATTTCTTTGTAAGATGAAGATGAAATTTTTCCGAGAAGAATGAATGTTGATAAGCAGAATATTCTTACGGAAAAGTTTACTTGGTAACCTGATTTTTAATGATGAGGCAAATGTTGCTTACCAATTACAAAGACATTTACCAATTACGTAGGCATTTACCATAAATAATGAAGTGGCCACTCGTCTCTTCTGAATTCAGAAAAATTAGAAATAAAGTCAGTAACCAAATACTGCATTCACAAATATGCAGTATGAGAAAGATGACTCCGCCATCAAATTTTTGCGTTGCGAAGTAATGCTTAATTAAAAAAAAAAAAATCCTTCTGCTTGGGAGGAATTCATCTCGCTCTTGTACCAAACAAATGATTTTTAACTAAACTAAAACTGAAATTTAAAGTGATACATTACTTGTATAATGGAGTCATCCACTGAAACAACCTGCCATTTATATCCATTTTGGAATTTCCTCAATTTTTGAAAGTTTGATGTGCGCACCTTTTTGGATCGTTCGATATTAAGGATTAATATTCTCTAAAAGATATGGTATCCTTATTGCGTTGTACATAATAATTACGCAGAGCTTCGTGTTTGTAGTTAAGTCTGAAAGTTAGTTTGTAGAGACATTAGATATTTTTTTGGAAGCAGGCAAGATAAAAAATATGCAACGCCTTCGCCGGGAACCGCGGATCTCTCAATTACGCGCTGAGCATGCAGACCACTGCACCACGAAGGCTCGCTAACAAAGCGGGAGAAATATCTTATAAGTCTCAGTTAAATCCTATCTGTTAATTTGCTCTAGTTTTCAAAGAAAGAATGTCAGAACTGCCAACAAGATATTTAACCCGTTTGACCTAATTTCATAGATTGCGATCAATCAAATTCGTGAAAATTATATTATTATTAGATTTTATTAACTGTTTCAAATAAATACTATATTGTTGGAAATCGTGCTTTTCAAATCTAATTTCATTATAATTCATAACAAAATCTCTTATTTCTACCAATTATTTTAATTATTTGTCAATCTGTTTTTCCATCCAAATTTACCAATTATGTAAAATCTATTGTCTATAGTTTTGCATATTATACTCTGCCATGCTGGCTCACTCTCGAAGTGTGTGAGAATGAGTGTGAATTTAGAACTTAATATGTTAGAGTTACGAATCCATCGTAAATGGAATTTAATTTACGAATTAAGACACGAATTTATCGTCAATAAAACTATATATAGTTTTGATACTGAATCGTCGGTTCAGTTCTAATGTCATTTTTACACATTGGCAAATTTACTTTCAAAGAATAGCCTTAATATGAAATGAATTATTCAAACGTTAACCTTCACAAAAATTAATAAGCAGCCTTTTTATAAGAAACAAAGAAGTAATTCTTTCTGATTAAAAACACTAGGGAGAAGCCCTAGTATACTTTTCCTAATTAACTAAACCCTCAAACCTCAAACCTCAAAACCGATTATAAGCATACTTATGGTCTTTCCGATAAAAAGATTTTCTGCTTTAAACTTTACAAACTGCTAAACTGAAAGCTAAACATTGTAATTTTGTGTTAACCTTAACTTCTAAACCTTAATTTGGAAAGTGATTAAAAATGAAATGAACATTTAATAAATGAATTTAATGAATGAATTGAATGAATTATGAATTTCGTTTTCTTTGATTTTATAGGGTTATTAATTCGAGTAGGATAATTTTTGCTGATTTATGTTTGTGGGCTTTCGACAGTGGATTCATAAATTTAGTATTCATATTAAATTCTAAATTTAGAATAATAGAAAATTATTAAAAATTTTCCAAATTATTCTATGGCTGGTCTATATATAATAATATTATTCTATGATAACATTAATATTCTACCATTTTATAATAACAAATATTTCACGAGATTTGATTATAGATTCGTTAATTTACCATTCATACTAAATTATAAATCCTTAATTTGGAATTATTTTTAATTATTCTAAATTTTTATGACACTATAGTAATTTTGTGATCGTTTATAGACAATAATATTATTATTATGTGGTCATCTACAGGCAATATTATCATTCTAGGCTCTTCTGTAGACAATATTGTTAGTCTATGACAATATTAATATTCTACAATTTTATAACAAATTATTCTACTGCGTTTGCCGATGAATTGTCACTAAATCTAATAAATATTACGTTTGTTAGATTTTAAATTGTTATATTCGTATTAAATTCTAAATTGTAAATTTAGAATAATTTTTTATTATTCTATGACACTGTTGTTATTTTCTGTTCTGTTATGGGCAATATTATTATTCCATGATAAAGTTAAAATAATAGTTATTCTTTGGTATCTGGCAATGGATTCGTAAACCTGATAATTATAATTTGTGTTTGGCAATGGATTTTTAAATGCTATTATTATATAGTCGTTTAATATTATTTTTCTGTAAACAATATTCTTCTTCTATGTCAATATTATTAGCTTATTATTTTATAATAGCAATTATTCTACGGCATTTGAAGAGAATTTCGTAAATTTAGTACTCATATTAAATTAATAATTAAAAATTATTCTAAATTATCCCATTAATTAATTCTAAATTCTTAATTTAGAGTTTTTCTTAAAATGTATTTATAATTTCTAAACAATAACAATTTATGTAATTGTACCAAAAACGTAAAACGGGTCTTAAAATCCAACTAACTGCAGAATTTGTTAAGATTTTTACGGAATATTTTAAAAAATCAAAATGAGTATCAAAATGTTAACTGTGAGAAAATGTATGTTTATATTATTTTTTAAATTAATTCCTTGACAAATCGAGTAATATTGATAAACTTTCATAGGTAAATACTGTTTAATAAATCGTCTACTAAATTTATTCGCATATCGTTTAGAATTTTTTTCTTTGTCTGTTATATGTTATAAAGTGTTTATTTACTTTGGAATTATTCTTCACGTTTTTTGGAAGTAAACTCTTTTTTTTCCCAGGTTTAAATTCCCCCAGTTTGATACATTGTAGATTTAGGTCGCTATTAAGCTTTATGATTATCAGCTAATTTAAGTTTTTTTTTTTTTTTTTTTGTTTCTTTTTGTAACAGAAGGAAAATCTCTGGCGAAAGATCGTGGTTGCAAAATCATTGAAACATCGGTTGCCATCAACCATCAAGTGGATGAACTTCTGGTAGGCACCCTAGCGCAGATCCGTATCAAGGCTAAAGTTGCGGATAAACTGAAAAAGAAGAGGGATTCCGAGGGCTGTAACAGGCGATCTTCCATTTACTCTGGATCTAAAGCTTCTGGGGTTCTCAAACGAATACTCAGGAGAGCCTGCATGAAGTCCAAGTCATGCGATAATTTGCACGTCCTGTGACTGTAACGGAATTGCTGTTAAGTGCCTTTATCGTACTGTGATTGAAAATAAGGATCAATTTCTTTTTGTACGCATTAGTTAAATTACAATGTATAACAAGTTTTATCTAGCATGAACAGTTTTAGATTTGAAATAATTATTCATGAGTTTTGTATAGGAAGAAAAATCAGTTTTAGGACATTATTATACCATTTACAACAACAACAACAACAAAAAAGGCAGTTTTATCGTGAAATCTTAAATTTGTAATAATCATGCATTAAATTTAATATTGCTAACTTTTCGTTGTGGGTAAACATATCAAAATTACTTTGAGAACTCTAAGGAAATCTATTATACGGATGCATATGAACCTGTACTTATAAGTGCAAGGTGTCCGGTAAATAGAACATAGAACATCACAAGAATTAGGCATCAGGTTTTGAGATGCTAGATTTTTACGAACTTCTAAGGAACTTAAATCGGTAGATGAACTAGATCCCATAGATTTTTTAGGGATTTTAGTTTCAGCCAAAACGTTCAGACATGACATGATCTCATTTTAAGCTGTAGAGTGAAAAATCTTAGTCTACCGAAGAAGGTTATTATACTGGAAGAAAGAATCCGCCATGTTGTTGTCAGTCTCATTCTAGAAACCATAATGCGTGTGTTAGTGGAATAGCATCGTTGGTTAGAGTTGTGAGTGATATAACAAGAGATATTATTCTGGAAAGATTCTACAAAATCACTGATGTTCGGCTTGGGAGATCCAAGAAGGTTATTGATCTCAAGCATAATAACTGGGAAAAAGGATACGCTAGGTTGATCATCCGATTGATTTTACCTTTCATAAAACGTGTGTTACGGGTATAGCATCATTGATTGTACTAATCTGTGCATTGCAAATGAGGAATATCATTCCGTAGCATCGTTGACTGGATCTGTGAGTTGTAAACAAAGAATATCATTCTACGGGATAGTTGATTTGACTAAGTTGTAAACAAGCAGTATTATTTTATAGTATCTTTAATTAGACCTGTAAGTTGTAAATAAGGAATATCTTTCTCGAGAGATTTTGCAAACTTGCTTATGATACTAAATTTACCAGACACATTGCACATTTATTGAAAACATTTGGAGTATCTATACAAATCTTCCTTATAAAGTGCATTGGTTGATAATTGTTTATAAGAAGTTTTATGGCTGTTTAATATTTTATTTACCACAACTAAATGACATGAATGATACCTTTAAGCAGAATTTGTATGCCATTACTGACATTAGTTTTCCGTCGTTTTTGTTACTTATATGTATAATTGAATCATGAAATTTCGCTTTAAATACGTTTTGAAAAGCACTCGTAACGCTTTTGAGCCAGTAAGTGTTTATTGAAATGTACAGATAATAGATTAGATTGCCAACAGAGTGGAATTTTTGTAATGTAAGTTAGGTATGTTTAGATTAACAAAGATTCTGCCTTTGCTGACAAGATTCATGTGTTTCGTTAAGTTAGGGCCATTTGCACTGTCGCCTAATGAAGTGCCAAATGGAACTTTTTATGTCTTCCAAATCTTCAAAGTATGGTTACCTTCTTAAGTTCGACACAATTTGAAATTTGCTCTTCTAATTAACATAAAGTAGAAGTAATTATTAACCCAAGAAGGCGTTAGCCCAGAAGGGCTATTAGTCTCGAAACGACGTTTTACGTCAAATCACTAAAAGCGATGAATCACTTTTCAGATTGTTGCCACCAAATATTAATGCTCTGTATTATATTTAAAGACATTAAATATTGAAGAACCTGCATGAATATATGTATATATATATTTCGCATTGTAAAAAAACAATGGTAGAGCCATCAAATTTTGAATAACGTAGTCCCCCTTCCGAATATAGGCACCTGGAACCCCGGATTTGGACCTTTTTTATTATCTTTTTCATATTTTGTAAAGCATTAACGAATTTTTTGGATTAAAATAACTCAACAGTTTCAAAGGGAGCAGTGGCAACACTGTACGAAATAAAACATTTTTATCTCCAGAGCGCGAGGCTGACTATCGGAAATTCTAAACATAAGCTGTTTTTAAATATTTTTTGCCCAAATGCTCTCGAAACGTGTAAATGAAAAACCAAAACGTCCCTTTGGGTGTTGTATAAAATCTGAAAGCTTTCAGACTTTTTTAACTATTTTTTATCATTATTATTTTACATAGAGCTAAAGAACTCTTATTCAAATGTCTTTGACACAAGTTGGCTGAAAATAAGGATAAGAGTTATATGATGTTATAATATGTGTAGGTCAATTAATTAAATGAATTTCTCAGCCAGAGGAACACTACGAGGACAACTAAACAGTAAACAATGTGTAATTATCTAAGATTTGGGCGAACAAGTTTTAGAACAGATTTAAGGCATGATTGCAAGTTAACAATTTACTTTTGCGAAATTTTATAAGAAAGTTTAACTAACATACTTTAAATTAAGAAGAGTAGAATATTGTTCAATACAGTTTTTGACTTTATTATTTCTTATAGCTGAATTTTGTACAGTCTTATATTAAATATTTTAATTTTAAAACTTTTTAATTTTGTGGACTCCAAAAAAATATTTTGTACAGAATATTCTTCTGCATCCGTAATATTATAATAATCCATGAAATGTTATTTATATTTCAATGTTCATATGTATATACTCATTCATGTAACTTTATTGTGTCCCTGGTAGTCAAAGTTCGTGGAAAGTCTTTAAATGTAATATGTAAGCCTTCAAGAAAACTGTATAAACAAGTTAATGATTTTAAATAGAGTTTCTACATCACTACAGAAAAATGATTTCTAGATATTTTATAAAAGTTGTATTTTATAGCTCATGAAAGATAGTATTTTATATGAAGTTGGGATTTTGGTAAAAGGAGTTTTTGAATGCAAATATAATTATAACATACACCACAAAAACATTTTATAATTACGTTAGTAAACTGTAGTTTTTAAAAATTTTGTAAAATTAGCAACAACACACTCTATTCGTTTTACGTATTTCCTATTATTGGTTATAAATCTCATCTTAAGCTATCATAACTGTACAAATATTTTTAGTGCTACATCAAAACTAATAAAACTATTTTATGGCTATTTAGAGTAAGATTCAAAGCTCTAAAAATTAGCAGATTTAATATCAATTCAAATAAGGTCTTATTAATAGCTTTTTAAAATTCGTTCGAGTTATTTATTTACAAAAAAAAAAAAAAAAAAAAAAAAGGATTTTTCCTTTTATAAAGTTAATAAATACTGTAATATTACTCTAGAAATTTCAAAATGATGTAACATAAGTAACAGTTGTAAAAGAAATTAGAAATTTTACATTAAAAATATATTTTAAAAAATATTGCACGATTAAAAATTTTGTAAACGTGCAGTCCCCAATAAAAGCTGTATGATTTTTACAATCAATTGTAAATGTACAAGACATAAAAATTGTAGATTTGAAACATTTAGAAAATGGGCAACTAAAAATCTTTTTGAAAAGCATTATAACATCGAAAGATGTGCAAATGTTTTGTTTAATTTGAAAATTTCATGTGGATATCAAAACGCAACACTGTTTTGGTTTTGAAGGCTTGCAAGTAATTTCAAAGATTAAAGAAATGAACGATTTAGCTGTTTATTAGCTAATTATAAGCTGTTTGTTTCCTACATTTGCATATAAATTTATATGTTTGTTTTGTTACTTTGTGTGAAGTGGCTGTTTGAAATAGATATTATTTGTTCGTTGCATATTCATTCAAAGGATTCTGAAATATCTGTTGATCAGATATATTTATCTAGATATTTGCGATGATCAAGATGTAATTAATATTTTAATAAGTAATTTACTGTACATATTTATGTCATTTGTTAGTGTGATTTATTTGTACGAATGATGAATTTCAGTAATAAAATACTTGTAATGCCTTGTAACAATTTGAATTTATTTGTGTTTTTATATCCTTTCATTCATTAAATGAAATTTTTAAAAGCAATATGCACGCTCAGTTACTCTCATATCACAGAAAAAAAGGAGTTTGGGATTTCAAATAGTTTTGATAGCAATAACCATTACATAAATTATAATAATTGATGGCTACAAATGAGAGGAATACGATCGGGTCCATCTGGTCTAAAAATAGACCTTATGATCTTGTTTGGATCGCCTCTAAGTTCACCACAAAGTGAGGAATCCCACCACAAAACCAAACTCAAGCACAATCCCAACATTAAATCACACATTATAAACACACAATTAACAAATATCAAGTAAAAAAAATTAAGGACATATAGAATTGAAAAACCACAAGGCATGAAATTAGTATCTGAACAAGTCAAAATGAATAAAATTATAAGTAAAAACTTCAAATAAAATCTGTAAAGTTCTAAGATCACTAAAATACAAATAAAAGTACAATAAAAGACAATCTTTAGATAATAGTTATAATTTTGATTTATATAAAAATACCACATGCTCTCCGTTTACCGTTAACAACTCCCACAATCTTCTTCAAACTTACAGAATTTATTATAGCTTATATTTTCAAAATTTGCAATCTTCATTTGTTGTCAAACACTTTCTGTTTTGGTATAAGATTTGGTTTTACGCTAGCTTTACCTTGGTCAGATAAACGGACGCACTATTGTCCCTGTTCTCTTTCACATCGTTGAGTTTGTTAATCAAAAATTCATTAAAATTTTATAAAATATGAAATAAATAATAAAACAAATTCGAATTTCAAAATTCTACCTTCCAGGTGCACATGTTCAGATGGAGGACTATGTTATTCAAATTTGATCGCACTAGGTACCATAGCAATGCGAGGAACATACATTCATACATGCAGATTCTTCTTTATTTAATTTCTATAATACTTGGTGATAATATATAGTGGCGACAATTTGAAAATGGATACGCCGTTTCTAATGAAACAACGCAAAATCTCATTTCGAGAATAACAGGCCATTTTAGACTTAAAAGGCTCTAAACATCTGCTTTTTCCATCATCAAACAGAATAGAAAATGACGCGGAGTAATTTAAAGACGTTGCTCTAGTCATTCGGTATGCAAATAAAGATTTAATCACACAAATGCTGCAAACGAGCTTCAGAACAGAAATAACTCTTGAAGTTGCAAATATTCTAAACAGATTAGCGTGGGCTGGTAATGAGTGTATGTTGCAATTGGAGATGCATTTTTAGATGTGAACTTAAGGTAGGCGTTATCCTATTATAATTTGATAGTAAATGCCGTTAAAGATAGGAAAATACTTTTGGTGATATTAATTTTTATCTTATGTACAATAAGTAGGGCGTATATATTTATAGAAGTATTGCGAAAATTTGAATTTTAATTAACTTATTTATTTACACTTATTATTTTATGGAGTTAATCTTTTTATGTCGCTGAAATTCAAACCCACTATATACCGAAAAACATATTTTTTAAAAAATAAGATAAAAGATATTTTTAAAATGAAATTATGATAAACATTTATAGGGCAAACCGAAAAATAAGCTTCAATGTTTTCCTGTTTCTTTGGATATATCAGTATTTTTGATAAACTACATTGAATGCCTCCACATAAATAAATTTTATGAAAAACTGAACTAATTAGTTTTTCTGCATCCGCCAAACATTTTTAGTATAATGAAGGCAACATGTTCTTTATACTTCTTCTTTTTTTCGAGAAGCTAAAGTTTATAATTAATACATGTAAATCCAGGGAATAGCCAGAAATTCCCTGGTCACGGAATGTAATATAAAGTCAGGAAGATCATACTCTAAATCTCTTGGTCATTTCGCAATCCCAATACGGAGAGTTGCTCTTGTTTCTTCGAGTGTCTAAAAATGTACTTCAAAGAAAAATCGTAATGTATTTGCAAATTTTTGTTAAAGCTTTTCTTGCTGTATCCAGCACGCAGTTTAACAATCTGCTCTTGAACTTACTCTTGCTAACAAAACTTTTCTTGTCTTTTTAACTTTAGTTAACATCGCTCTCTTCTGAAGATATTATCCAGAATGTGCATTACTACGTCTATACTACTGGCTAATCTATGGCTTAATGTGGCCGAAAGCCTAGAAGAAGTAAACATCTTAACATGTGTGATAAGTCTATTCCGAATTCGTCAGCAGTATTCGTGGTGGCTGCTTCCAAGCTGAAAGTTTCGCTTTCGTAATCTGTCTTTTGTAAGCTTTGTAAGGTCTGTGCTTTCGAAATATTAGCGAGCGCGTCGAACTTCCTGTGGGTTCGAGACTTTGCAGCGTTCCCTCACCAAGGCGTGAAGTTTTACCAAGGAATGCGTTTCGAGGCAGCGTAATTTTTTCTTTTCAATATTCTTTCACACGCCGTAATAAGTGTTTGCATAAGATTTTCGTGCATTTCCTCGATGTCCTCTCCATTCATGCAATTGTACACAATGTTTTCAACGCAGGGTGACAGTGCACATATTACATTTATTGATGTTTATATACTTGATTTTCTATCTGACATAAACTGGTGTTCCGAATCAATGCTGAACTAATTTAGCGATGGTCACTGGACGAGGAGTATTTGCTAAGCTTCCGTCCAACTATAAATTTTGTTAAAAATGCCTATGGTGGCTAGTCCCTTCGGATTTATTATGAGTTGCTCAACTGAAGCAGTGTGGAATGTTTGCTTTGCAGTTATCCTGGTCATGAGCTTGTCTACAGCCTGCGCAAATAAACTCCGCTTTGCAGCAGTCGGTCAAATGTCCCAGCCGATGACAGTTAAAGCATCTTACAAATCTCTACATATAATAAAAGAAAGAGTCTGTCTGTGTGTGCGTGTGTGTGTGTGTGTATCTTTCGTTCGTAAGCTAATAGACCCATGGCTACGAAATTTGGTACATAGGTGCATCTAGACAAGAGCCAGTGCACCTCGAAGTGATTTTTACGAAATTCGAATTCGAATTTTTTTTATTTTATGTTTTGTGACGAAATCGCGTCATTTTGAGACATAATGGGCTATAGGAAAGCGAGATTTTACTCTACACACTCCATTTTTACATCGTTATGAAACGTAGGCACTTAGCTATTTTACGAACTTAAAATAAATTTCGTGTTTCAATAAATCGATTAAATACGAATTTATTTAACAAAAAGGAGCTTAACACCTTTTCAATGGGGTTTTTTTCTAAAAACGTTTATTTTTAAAAATGTACAGTTTATTTTTCTTTGATTTTTGGACACCTTAAACTTTCATCCTTGCGACTGCTTTTACAAAAGGAATTTTGGAAAAATGATAATATTTTTGTATTTTTTAAAAAAAATTTTAAATGAAGCTTCCGAGTACACTTCTCACATCTTACATCTTTAAAAATATGATTTTGGCAACAATTTTCCTGTCTTATTATTGCTGATAGATTTTTGATGAAATCGAATCATTTTGAATAGTTTCATTCTTTTAGAAATATGGGTTTGGCAACAATTTTTCATCGTATTTCTTCTGTCACTGTTTTTAAGAGATTGTCATATTTCATTGTCATTTATATATATATATAATACATTTTTATTCATTTGTTGGATAAAGTTGTTCTGCAGAGTAAAATTCTGTGCGGAATTTTATGTTTTTTGAGTTGCTTTCATGTTATTTTTTGCTTATTTCACTTTTTGTAAGATATTGAAAAGTTTTGCATGATTTTTTTTCTTCAATGGAAAGTTGGTTAATTTTTTAATTAGAATAATTAATATTTGTATTAAGGGATATAGCTTATTTCATTGTAATTTTTTTCTCTTTAAAATATAAGATAAAATATCATTAATTATACTTTGCTTTTCAGAATTTTTTGTTTTTTGTATTCTTTTATGTTATTTATTGCTCATTTCACTGTCTTTAAGGTACTGAAAAGTTTTGAGTGATTTTTTTAAGAAACAAAGTCCTTAACCTCCTCTATACCATTTGAATTATTAAGATTTTGCAAAGGGAAGTTGGTTAATTTATTTATTAGGATAATTAATATTTGTATTAAGAGATATTGCTTATTTCATTGTAATTTTGTTATACGTAATAACATTTTTTTATGAAGTTGTTCTGCAGAGTAAAATTTTAAGCAGTTTTTAAATTTAACGTTTAGTGTTTCCTTCAGCCCTTTTTTCAGTACATTTAAAAGCCAGACGAAGACTGGCAGCAAAGCTGCTAGTTAATAATATTTTCTGAAATCACAAAAGCTAAATCCGTTAAGGATTCTTCTATGGTTCCTGAATATCTGCAGAGATATACTCAACATCCTTAATATTCGTGCTGCAGGTCGACGATCCAAGTGAGGCCAATAGTTGGGCTAAAATGATTGTTATGATGTGTTTGTTAGTCAATTGCTGAAGGTACATACCCTGCAAAGCCTCACGTCTGTCGTCTACTGTTACAGACATGGGAGTTTCATACATGATTATTAGGACTTCCTAAATGAGGGTTCTGTGCGTACGATAGCGGCCGAAAGAGAGGGCTTTTCCTCAATTGCTTTCCTGATCATTTTTTCCTAAACCGTATTAAAAGTTCGTTAGAACATATGGGCCGCACTTCTTGAACAGTGATACACAGTTCTTAGTCAAAGTTCAGATGTCAATTGAGTTCTGATTTGCTCAGATGTCCTACCTTTTTTTCTTTCGGGGGGGGGACTTCAATAAATTGGGTTTCTTTTATTCCACTGTCTTTGGAATATTTTCTGGTGAGGCTGGAGCGATTAAAAGAACATTTATCAATCACACTAATTTGCTGTTGCGGCAGCCGCATTTTTTCTTGCAGACTTGTACTGTGCCCTTCTTGTTCTACAACAGATTTTCGAGTAATTAATGAGACTTGCTAACACTGAATTTTCGGCTGTCTCTTGTTTGTTTCAGAAGTGGTTGAAGTTGGTAGATAAGGTGGGTGATAGCATCAATTCTGGAAGCGAGTGAAAGTATGGCAGTAGCCCGTTT